GATATGGTCGATTATCTTGCGAATTGATGATTTATTGAAAAATTTTTCGAACAAAAGTTGCTTGGTTTGAAGGAGGACACATAAAGGAGGAAATGTGGAATCGATTTTATCAAAATAAGGTCAAAGTTATTAATGTTTTTTTTAAATAGAAACCCCTATTTTTTATCACATATTCTTGTAGCTTATCTCGAGAGTTTTCCAAAATATTATAATAAAGTTACATTTCATTGAGTACTTTTCGAGTTATGGAACTTGAAAGTTAGTACCGCCGACATTATCCATGTACGCATGCGCGTGAGAACGGGATTCTTACGCGCGCGCATCTCCGTGAGTCACATTGCTTGACATACGCTTACGCGCACGGAATAGAGTTCAATCCTTCTCAATTCAACTTTCTTCTTTTTTTCGTATAGCTTTTTCTTTCAATGTTTTTACATTAGTAATCTTTTTCAAAGCTTTTTTCAAAATGGTCGCTTACAGTTCAAATGAAATATTGTTGATATTATTCTTGTGTTTGGTAAAGTTGAACAAAATTATTGTAGAATTATTGAACAGAAAGATCGTAATAGATATCCGTTTAGATGACATTTAAATGCAGATAAGAAGAATTTTATTACGAGAGCGTAGAAAAATTCGTAAGAGAAATCGCAAGCAAATACAATAAATGCTGAAGATGACATTAATGATCCGCGTGTATAAGCAGTGCTAGCAATGATAAACTTGAATCCTCATATTTTGACTAGAGAACTTTGACTAGAGACTGCAACGTAATTTTCCTGTATTGAGGATTTTACAAAAATATAAATTCTATTCCTATCACATCACTTTAACCTAAGATGTAAGTAAAAATGATATAAGGCTAAGAAGACAATTTTGTCGTTGGACATTACAAATAAGACAGAATTCAACTTTTTTTCAGTATGTTCTCTTCAATGATGAAACCTCATTTCATAACAATGACAACTCAAGAAGTATAACTGTTATTATTGTCCACAATTCTCACTGGACTCAACGTGTTGATAATTGACATCATTAAAGTTTAAATACTTGATGCGGAATTGTAAATAGATATTTGATTGGTCCATATTTTTTTGATAATCACTTAAAACTTTTTTTTTGTAGAATAAATTGTCTGAGTTTTTAGAAAAGGTTGATCTTGTCGACAAAAAATATGATGGTCAAGATGATGCACAATTCTATTCTCGTCGTATTGTGACTCAATAACATCTTTTATGAAAGATAATTGGGGGGGGGGGGGGTATGGATATATTCGATAACTTCCACGATCTTCCGATGTAACTTCGTGCGATATTTTTTGGGGCTACATAAAAAATATTGTTTACAAAACTCCGCCGACAGGCGGCATTTCATGTCTGCAGGAGACATGAAAAATTGAATAACTAAAAATGTTTGTCGTAGCATTCCTCAAAATATTTTAATTTCAACAGTAAAAAACTTTGAAAAAATTTTCGGTTGAGGCTATGTCTGTAAGAAAATGGAGCTCCATTTGAATCTTATCAATGATTAAAGACATACCACATTTATAGTCATTTGAACTGCGCGCCGAATTGGTTTTCCTTATAAATGCAATTAAACTATTGTAATAATATCACGAATTAAATTGAGGTTTTTAATTTGATACTCAATCAAGCATTATATTAAAAAGATGTTTCATAATGTTTTAAGAATTAACAAATATTATCCAGGACATGATCCTGAACAACATTCAAAAAGTTTTAACCGTTAATCGGATAACTTGCATAATGTTAATGATAGCGATAATGTAACCTTCAAGTCATATAACTCGGAAAATACTTTATGAAAAAATATTTTATTATAGTTTTGGAAAGTTTTCGAAATATGCTACAAGAATATGCAATGAAAAAGGGGAATTCCATATGAAATTTCAAAATTAACTTTCAAATGACTTGAAATATGCTTTCAAGATCAAATTTAAAGTCTAATTTCTTCCCCCATTCCCAATCAAAATTATACAACTTTCACTTCTGATGTTTTTTTTTGGAAACGTGCGTCCTTTTCCAGCATGGAAAGATTTAAAGCCTACCCTATACAGGGTAGGATTGGGTATTATGAGCACTGCAGGTAATATGAATACCCTTTATATTTCTATAACGTTGGTACTAGTAATGCCAACTGTTGTAAAAAGATGCAAATGTCTTCGCGACATTTCAATATGTTGCGAAGTTTGATCTAAATTGATGTATTTCGGATATTTATCATATTAAGTAGATATTATGAACATCTTTATTATATTTTCCCACACTTAATATTTTATTTATCGAAGCATGCATTGAAGTGGAAGGAAATCATTGCCAGCAATTTCTGAAATGAAAAAAAAAAAAAAAAAATATATATATATATATATATAAAATAAAATATAGATAAGTATAAAATA